TGATTTATTCGTGTAATTATTTGACTCACTTATGGGAATAATTCGGTATATTCGCGAACACATCATTTGATTTATTCGTGATCAACGGGATTCATTCGCACGATGGTTTGATTGATTTGCGAGCATATTATGTGATTTATGCATACTTACTTGAATTATCCTTGAGAGCTGTTTGAATTATTCATGGAGATTATTTGATTCGCTCGTGGAATATCATTAGATGTATTCGTGGAATTACTTGAAAATGTTTAACTGGCTTGTTGAGATAATACTTTATATATTCATGGAGATGTTACTTGACCTATTCGAGAAAATATTTTCATATGTTCGTGGAAATATTATCTGATTTACTCGCGCAAGTATGTGATTTATTCGTGGAGTCATTTGGTCTATTCATGGAAAAGTTGTTTGTTTGAGAGTAAATGCGGGTCACGATTTTGGATTGAGGATATTTCGCGAATGTGCTTGACTTGTGTTTGGTACATTTTTCAAATTCTCCATCAATAAGCTCGAGGACTTGGATTAAATTGGCATGATGGGGCATCTTGATATCTGAATATATTTGAACCCTCTCATTTGGATTTTCATGAGCATATGTGGAATTTTGTCTGAATTAAATTGCCCATAATTTCTTAGCGTGTTATTGCTAGAACATGCCTTGAATCAAGAAGATAATGTTCGTATTTGACCCCTTATTTTTCTCGTGTGAAAAATGATAAGATGGATGACGTGAATATAATGTTGATAAAGACATCTCTTTGAATTCTTCCCGAGGAACCCACGGGATGATGCAAATATTGACAAATATTGAGACAAATGTTCGAGTGTCGAGGACAAAATGAGCGAGCACGAATCTGTCAATGTGAGATGACAGTGGAGGTTAAGTTTTGATGGTGCTGATCACTGGTGGCAATCTCGAAGATAGAGATCAAGTCTCTTTTGATGAGGTAGAATAATTCCGATTGGTATTCTCGACTTTAAGGTACACAATTAATCTCAACTCTCGACATCTGTTTTGGTCGACATGATTTATCAACGCATTGAATTTCTTAACACTCTTTTTGGGAGAAATGTGCACCATTCAAAAATATTGTGGAGAAATGTTGTTGGAATCATGGATTACATGGATATGTTTCGAATCATTGTGTGGATAATTAACAAAATGCAGAAAAAGAGACATATGCGAAACCTTGAACAAAAATCTGGCATGACGAAGGCCTTCGGGCTGGCCAGTCTCGAGTCTCCACAACATTTGAATTTGGTATTAGGATGAACTCATTTGAATTTTACTTTCTATATTCGTTTGTGATTGTAGATATCTGCGGAGTATGCTTTGTCAAATTATTTATTGAGTCTTGGTTTTGTGAAATTCTGGTCTATCGTACATTTGAGTGGATATTTATGCCCTTTATTATCGAGATAAAGAGCTTAATTTCGGATTGTGGTGTGATATAGTAACGCGTGGATCGATTTGATTGTTTGGATGCATCTATTGCTATTATTGCTATCGAAATTGCAAATTGGAAGATATGAATAAACTGCGACTCATGAACTTTGCTTGATATTTGCTGAGGAAACATGACCAGATGATCTGATATTTAGATATTGCATTGACTGTTTTGTTGAAATAAGGAATAGATAACATGGAATAATCGAGCAAAAGTCATCATGTATACAAGAAAGGGAGGTTGAAAATGTGTTTGATGATTTTGTGATACGCTGAATATTTTTTGCGATTATCATGCTCGTGTAACTATATTTTTGGTGATGCTAAGGAGAATGACTGATTGTTATCACATCTTGTGGTGCTCGATGTATTTCTCCTCGACCATGATGGAAGGTCGGATTAAATAATTACAAAATTATGACTCGAGTGGAATCTCGAATAGGCTACGAAACCTACGACTACGAAGTCGACTTAAAAAACTACGAAGTTGTAACTCGAGTGGAATCTCGAATAGGCTACGATGCCTACGACTACGAAGTCGACTTAAACAACTACGAAGTTGTAACTCGAGTGGAATCTCGAATAGGCTACGAAGCCTATGTAATGTTCCGAGATATTATCAGTATAAATTACATTTAATTCCGATATAGTAACGTTATCGTTTATTATTTTCGGAATTAGATTATGTTCAGTCGAGATTACCGAAATTTATTTTCGGCATTCCGCGTATGTTCGGAATAATTTTGGTAATTAAGTATTATGCTTAACAATTAATTAAGCATAAAAGGGTAATTAGTGATTAACTAATTACAATTAAAATTAAAGTCGTGTATATTTTCCCAAAATTAGAACAGAATGCCGTGAGACATACTTAAGAAATGGTACCAATAGTGTGCAACTTCTTTTCCCAAAATTTGAGTATTTTTTTTTTCTAGCGTTGCTAGCGGGATTCTAGGCGGTCTTCTGACCTGTCCTCCCATTTTATTCTCACGTTGAGAGCTTTGTACCTTTATTCGCACTTTTGTGCGCTTTTGATTTATTATAGATCCTCTATCGTTTCGGAAAAAAAAAAAAAGGAAACAAATTCCTTTCTTCCAGCAAACTATAGACGTGTCCTTAGGAGATTAAAGGAGGAGATTAGTCATCATCTAATCCTCTTAAAAGAGAAGCAAGTGGCAATAGACTAGAGTGGCCACGCCAACACACCATCACCCTCTCCCTAATCGGCCGTCTATAAAATAAGGTAAGATTGAGAAATTTTCCTCCAATTTCCTATAAGATATATTCAGTACAATAGTTTCCTTCAGCAACAGCTTATATTCAGTAAGCAAAATTTCCCTAAGTTTTCATGCAATCGCACGATTAGTCCCAATCGCACGGAGTAAGAAGAGCTTGAGAAGGGAGTGTTTCGATCGAGTGAGCGAAGAGGTAATGTCCTCTTGAACTATAGTTCATGTTATTTAGATAGGTATTGAGGCTAGGGGTGCGAATAATTTTCAGAATTTCATAGAAAGAACATGATTAGTTCGGTTCATGTTGATTATAAGATGATACTCCTTATGTTCTATTCAGTCCGACATGTTCCGTGCAATTATCGTTCATTTAATCTTTGTTCAGCTTATCATGTTCAATGAGTTCAGTTTTGTCGAGTAAAGTTGGAGTTCGGTCGATGAAATGGCCCCAACCGTAGCCAACGCCTATCGCGTGGCCTCGGGTGGCCGTGGGTCGTGTTGTAAGTGATTTCAGTAAGAATCATGTTTGTCCGTGTGATTCAGTCTTAAACTGCTTCATATTAATGTGCATGTCATGTAGTTCCGAAGTTGCTGAGGGAATATGTGTTACGGCCGAGAGACGGCTTGTGGCCGTCGGCGGCGCACGGCGCGCCCGCCACGGTCCTTCTCATG